AAGTAGGTGAAATCATTCCCAATTTGCATACATGGAAACTACGTTCAGAGAGGTTGGGTAGACTGGCCCAGCACACACATAGTGAAATGACAGAAACAAGACCTGGTCAGACTTTGCTTAGCTTATCTTTCTGGCTGCTTCTCAGTGCCCAGGATGGGAAATAAGGCCCTGGTTTCTCACTTCTTTTTCATAGTCTCTGGGAGAATATTTCCTGGGCACTCCTCCAGAGGTGTAATCTCTGTTAAATGCTTGATATTCTTTTTTTTTTTTTTTAAGATTTTATTTATTTATTTGACAGAGAGAAATCACAAGTAAGCAGAGAGGCAGGCAGAGAGAGAGGGGGAAGCAGGCTCCCTGCTGAGCAGAAAGCCCGATGTGGGGCTCGAACCCAGGACCTGGGATCATGACCTGAGCCGAAGGCAGCGGCTTAACCCACTGAGCCACCCAGGCGCCCCAATGCTTGATATTCTTAAAGCTTAATGACTTGCTTGTCTTTAGGTTTCCGCCCATGCTCTGAAACAGGAAATCCTTTTGCACACAGTGACCCTTCAGATACTAGATGAAGAATCTTCATGCACATGGGTTAAGCTCCCAGCAATCCAGTTCAAAGGCACAGGACCTGAGCCCCAACCATCACAGAAAGGAGGTGAGGCAAGAATTTCTCCAGGGAATTTGGACTGAAATGACCTCTGAGTTGGATTTTTTTTTGTGGAGTGTGACACGTTAATTCCTTGTGACAAGGGTTTTTAAAGAACACGACAAAGGTGACATTTGGGGTAATAATGATTAGAAGGTAATAAGTCATTTCAGAGCAGCCTCAGTAGTATGATGGGTTTTAAATATCCATATTTGAATTTTCTACTTATGGTCTAGTAGCAAATGTTATTTCAAGTATTTTGATGCTTATATCCTTCAGTAGAAACACATAGAATATTAACACTATAATATAAAAACTGTATAAAAATATATAATATAAAAATATATAAAACATATAACACTATAATATATAAAACTATACTGACTTTTCTGAAAGTTACCCTTTAATATTGCCAGAGAAGTATATATGAATTGTACAAAGTTAGAAAATACATAATAGCAACATAAAATAAAGCATGATATTGTCACCCAGAGATTATAATTGATGATTTTTTATTCTATATTTGTGTATCTTTTTATGTACATATGTATTTACACGCATATGTGTGTATACACATGTACCTTTTACCAAAAAGAGATCATACTCTGTGCTGTTTTATAACCAGGTATTTTGTTGAGTTCATGATCTTTCCTCTGTCAGTACATTTTCATGTTATCTAAATGCAGTCTAAGTTCGGATAGTCTTGTTTTTTCCAAAATCTTTTTTTTAAAGATTCTTATTTATTTATTTGACAGACAGAGATCACAAGTAGGCAGAGAGGCAGGCAGAGAGAGGAAGGGAGGCAGGCTCCCTGCTGAGTAGAGAGCCTGATACCGGGCTCGATCCCAGGACCCTGGGATCATGACCCAAGCCAAAGGCAGAGGCTTTAACCCACTGAGCCACCCAGGCGTCCCTCAAAATCTATTTTTTAAAGATTTTATGTATTTGAAAGCGCCATCAGGGGTGCTGGGAGACAGTACCAGTCGGGTGGGAAGATGGAGAAGCGGACTCCCGGCTGACCATGGAGCAGGCTGGGGATCCCAGGACCTAAGATCTTGACCTGAGCCAAAGGTCACTGACTGAGCCACCCAGGTGCCCCTCTAAAATGTATTTAAAGCTTATTTGTTCAACTCAGGGAGGCATGATACCTCTTAATTCTTTTCTACTGTAGAACAGTTACCTTCTCCCATTTTTTCCCCAGAGTTTCTGATGAGCCCAGGCCAGTTTCCCACCCTCTGGAGTTTTCTGCTTGCTTCCACACTGTATCATTTACTTTGCTGTCCATGTACCTTGTAATTCCTATAAACTGGAAATTGGATCTCAAGGCTTGAAGGATTCAAGTTAAACATTTTTGGCTAGAATTAGTATTAGATAATAAGAGACATTAATACCTGGTGGCCCAGTATTAAATCACTGTTTTGGGGGGAAAAAAGTCACTGGTTTGGCCTGATGACAGTGTGATCCCTTCACTGAACAGCTGATTTTCCACTTGTAGCTAACTATGTGGTGTCACCTTGGCGCTGTGCAAATGGTTTCCCGTCAACAAGTGACAGCTGTTTGATAATCTTTGTGTGGGTCAACCACTTTATTAAGGGTTATGGGATGATTTTATAATTCTTTATTCCTTCTGTGTAAATAACTGGCATTTTTCGTACTAAATCTTTCCTTCATCACATCTGTCTCTTTGCTCACTTCCTTCTAGGTAGGCATGATTGATGCTGTTTCCCCTTTATTTACCACTCTTCAAATTCAAGAAGCAGTTTATTAGTCATCTTAAATGGCAACTTGAGATTTTCAGACTTTTTCTGTGTTGTTATCATTATGGACTTAGGAATTTATTTTTTTAAAGCTTTTATTTTTAGTTGAGTGAGAGATCATGGGGGGAGAGGGCAAAGGAGAAGCAGACTCTCTGGTGAGTGGGGAGCCTGTCACGGGGCTCTGTCCCAGGACCCTGGGATCACGACCTGAGCCAAAGGCAGACGCTTAACTGACTAAGCCACCCACCCCCCACCCGGCGCCCTGGACTTCAGTTTTTTATTGAGTCCGTGTATTTCAGCCCCCACATTAAAAATCCATCCCTTATTGCACACATCTTTGACTTGTGTGGATGTCTTTGGTCTTGCTTCTAACTCTGTTTTGCTCTATTAGTAATAGCTCTATTCATTTTGACTGCTTGCTTTTGCTTTGAGAACAAAATAACTTGTTTCAGGCTCACCTTGTACCTTCCCTACATGCAGATCTGGGATCAACCATTCCTGCAGGAGCCTTGGACCTTGTTAACAGGGAATGCTATTGGAGAATAAAATCTGGGTGGTAGGGGTGTTCTTCATCACGTGGGTAACACTGTTTCTAGACATTTCATGGCCAGAGCTAGATAGACATTGTTTTTCCTAACAAACATGAATTGATATTGATGTATTCATACTGCCTTACCATTACATTCCATCACTGCTTAATTGTAGTCGGTTTCTTCATTTCTTAACATTGCTTTCTTGTGTTCTCCTTTGTTTGGTTGGTTGGTTTATTCACTCACTCATTTACTTCTGGTTTTAACATTTTGTAGCAAAGGTGATCCCAAAAAGCACAAGGAGTGGGAATTGAGACACTAAAGGGAGAAAAGCCAATAAGTGCATAAATGAGCAGTCTGTCTTTGTTTTGCTTTTTTGTGTTTTTTTGTTTTACTTAGGCTCCAACGCCCACCCAGCGTGGAGCCCATCGCTGGGTTTGCTCATGACCCTGAGATCAAAACCTCAGCTGAGATCAGGAGTCAGACTCTGCTTAACTGAGTCACCGAGGCACCCCATTTTTCCCCTAACGTTTGAGCTGGGTTGATTTATATATTTTCATTCTCCTGTTTACTAAAAAAGTATTTGATGCTGTGAATACTTTATTGAACACTGGTTTAGATGAATTCCAAATGTCCTCAAATGTAGCGTTTTCATTATTATTTTCCAGAAAATCTGAAATGTATGTGTACATTTTGCTTTTGAACTAGCAATTATTGGAGTTTAAAAAATGACAGATGAAAGAGCTTGCTTTCTGATGTTGTTTTTAATTTATTGTGTTGTGATCATAGAGTGTTAGTGTGATTCCTATTTTTTTTAAATTCATTATGGTTTTCTTGTGACCCAGTAGTTTTCATTAATGTTCATTGCACATCTGAAAGTTCTATTTTCAGGATCAGAATTTGACATACATGTGTATCTATAAGATTGAATTTATTGAGTTCATTTTCTGAATATTCTTTATCAATATTTTTTATCCATTTGGCATTTTTCAGATATAGAAAGGATGATTAAAGTCTGTTCTTTGTTTTGTCTGTTTTTTTTATATCACCTATACTTTCTGGTTCAGGAAAGTTGTCACTTTTTTATTTTCTGCATAATTATTCATGTTTGTTACATCTGCATTGCAAATCGTGTTCTGTATTTTAGCACTTTTAAGTAGTCCTCTGTCTCATTTCATGCTTTTGGCCTGAATCTCCCCTTTCTCTGAAATTGAAATCGCGATGCCTTCTTTTTATCTGCCTTTGCTTAACATATCCTTTTCCATCCTTTATCCATAATTTTTCTCAATCATTATGTTGCATATGTGTCTCCTGTAGATATGGTAGAGCTGATTTTTGGTCTGTGATCAAATCTAAGTTTTTTTAATGAGTTAAGTCATTTGCATTTATCAATATGTCTGTTAGGACAATTATGTTTGATCTTAACATAATTTTTTTGTTTTTGTTGTACATGTCTTCTATATACATATGAATATATAAATACAAGTACAGGGATGCATATGTGCGTTGCTACATATATGAGTGTATTATGTACACACATACAAATGTACACACATGACGGAACTGTGTCTCAGCTTGCCAAATACACAGGAGACAGTGAGCCTAATGGAAATTTGGAAATGCAGAATGGACATGCCACAGGTAAAAAAAAATGTAGGAAATGTAGGAAAACCTTCACCTAGGTAAGAGGCCTTCCCGTGCATAGGAGGATCCACACTGGGGAGAAACCAGACTCCTGTTTGGAATGTGGAAAGGCCTTCATCAGACCTGCAGAACTTACCCAGCACCAGGGGCTTCACAGCAACAAAAAGCCTTATCACTGTAAAGAGTGTGGCAAGGGTTTCAGTCAGAACGCAGGCCTCTTCCAACATCTCAAACTCCACACTGGAGAAAAGCCATTCAGTGTAGTAAATGTTGCCGGTGTATTAGTCGGAGATTGATTCTTACAAAGCATCGAAGACCCCATACTGGAGAGAGACTTTTGCGTGTGCAGACTGCGGGCAAGCCTTCTGCCATACTTTAGAACTCACTGAACGTGAGCAATTCCACAGCAAAGAGAAACCTTATGAATCTAATGAGTGTGGGAAAACCTTCAGGCAATGCTCACACCTTACTGGGCATTGGCAAATTCAGTGAAGAAAAACCCTATGAAAGTAGAATGTGTGGAAGAGCCTTCACTCAGGATGCAGGACTTAACCAACACCAGAGAATCCATACGGTAGAGAAACTTTAAACGTCCTGTGTGTGGACGAGCCTTTAGCCGGAGCTCAGAGTTCATGATCCATCACAGAATCCACTTGGGGGAAAGGCCCTACGAGCGCACTGAGTGTGGGAAGCCTGTAGTGTGAGCTCAACCCTGATCATACATCAAAGAAGTCACACTGGAGAGAAGCCCTGTAAATGCGGTGAGTGTGGTGAAGACTTCAGTCAGTGCTCGGGTCTTCGTAAACACAGCTTAGGAGGGAAGCACGGGAACCACCCTGAGCAAAGAAAATGTAAGTGTGACGAGTGTGGGAATTCCTTTACTCAGTCAACTGGCCTGCAGAACCATAAAAGAATCCACACTGGGGATAAAACCTACCAGTGGTCTGAGTGTGGGAAGCCCTTCACAAGGGGAGAGCATCTTATCAAACACCAGGGGATTCACACCAAGGTGAAGTCCTATCAGTGTAAAGAGTGTGGCAAAGCCTTCAGTCAGAAGACGGTCTGCATCACCGTCTCAGAATCCACACAGGAGAGAAACCTTTTGAGTGTTTGAAATGTGGGCGGGTCTTCAGTTGGAAGTCAGATCTCAATAAACATAAGAGTCTGAGGGAACTCTGAGGAAAAACCCTGTCAATGTGAAGAGTGTGGGAAGCCCAGCAGGCAGTGAGCGCCGCTCTCCAAGATCTGAGGGGCCACACTGTGCTAGGCCCTGGCAGCGGAGTGACGGTGTGGAGCCTGCCATGGGAACTCAGCCCTGATTCAGGACCAGGGAATTCAGGACAACTGGACACCTTGCCCAGGTGTTAGGTGACAACTTCAGGAAGAATCCAGGACTTTTTAAATCTGAAATAAAATGTTTCTTGAACTTCATTATTTAAAGAAAATCAGAGATGCCACATCAAAGAGTTTTTATAAAGGTCATAAATACTGGAAGAGTTGAGAATTTAGAAAAAGAAATATCAACAAGAAATTTACCTGTGATTACTTTTATTAACTACAATGAAGTATTAATTAGTATGATGAAAAAATACACAAGGGCAGCTGTAATAAATTATATTTTTCTACTGAATTCATGAGGTTTTTTTTATGTTTTATCAAACCATTTTTTTTTTAAGATTTTTTTTGAGACAGTGATAGCAAAAAGAGAGCATGAGCAGGAAGGAGAAGGAGAAGCAGGCTCCCACTGAGCAGGGAGCCAGACACGGGGCTCAACCTGAGGACCCTGGGATGATGGCCTGAGCCAAAGGCAGACACTTAACGACTGAGCCACCCAGGCACCCGGAACCATTTGGATTTCTAACTAGCTTTAGCCATTCCCAGCATTGAAATTACTACTCTGAGTACCAGTCGAGGACACCAGAATATCCAAGCTTGGGACGTGTGAGATGACTTGCCCGTTTCCCTACCTCCCTAACCAAGCCTTTGACCAGAAGTGGGTAGTCTGCAGATGCCTCCTGATCCCCTCCCCTAGCATTACCATTTCTGGGTGAATAGAGAATGTGTTACAGTCTTACTGATAGGGAGAACAGAAGGGTATTGGCCTCCAGTAGCTCAAAATCTAGTGGGGCCTTTAGAGCGAAAGACCAGGGCAGACTTTTCTCCTTGTGAATATACTCCTTGAGTCCACAAGTGAGAAGGACAAAAGGAAAGAGGGAAAAACCAAACCTTTCATTCCAGCATTTACCGTCCTACAAATTATACAACTGAAACCTCTTTCAGCTTCAACCCTCAGGCAATGACATGAGGGACTTCTTTGCTGAAGCTCATGGTGTTTTTCAAATAATGGAAGAGTATTTTCTCATTTTTTTGTGCTACCCACAGTGTAAAAGCTATAGATCTGACATTTTTAAGTGTAATGTACATTACTAACATTTTCTGCAACACCTTGCAAAATCTAGACAGCCAGCAAAAGGATAATCCCTGCTTCTCCTTTTCTTCGATTGAGGTTTGCCTGATGTATCTTTTTCCATCCTTTTACTTTCAGTTTACTTATATCATTAAATTTAAAGTGAGGTCCTTATAGACCGCATATGCTTGGGTGACGTTTTTGAATTCAGACCCCCAATCTTTGTTTTTTAATAGGTGGATAGAAATGATTTCCATCTAATGAAATCATTGGTATTTTAAAGCTTAAGTCCGCTATTTTTTTTTTTTTTTCTTATTCCCTGTGTTGCATTTCTGTGATTTCTCTTCCCTGCCTTCTTGTGGGTTACTTGAACGTGTTTTTAGAAGTCCGTCTCAAGGGCCGCCTGGGGTGGATCAGTCAGTTAAGCAGCTGTTTTCAGCTCAGGTCATGATCCCAGAGTCCTGGGATTGACCCCCACACCAGCTTCCCTGATGGTGGAGAACCTGCTTCTCCCTCTCCCTCTGCCTGCTGCTCTGCCTACTTGTACTCTCTATCTCTCTGTCGAATAAATAAAAGCTTTTTTTTTTTTTAAAGCCCATCTCGATTTGTTTATGTTTGGGGATGTTTCTCTCTATACAGCATCATTGTCCTTGATAAAAGCTGTTACTTGAACTGGCTTTTGACCCACATATACTCTCTACATTTCTCTCCAAGAAATAGGTTTTGGCTAGCCTTATTTTGCGAACAGCCCTAGACAACAATACAGACATTCCAAATAGGTATGGGGGATTAAACAGAGAGCATTCTTACAAGTCTGCATTGGCTTTTTGTTACCTACCCAGCGGGGGAGGCCTCCGGATCAGCTTGAGCTGTGAACGGCTGAGAGCGGGACCATTTTATTCTCAGTATATCTCAGCACTTCGAGCAGTACCTGACAGGTATTAGTTGCTGCGTAGATACTGAAGGAAGGAAGGGAAGGAGGTTCCTTGTGCAGATAAATAATCACCAGCGGCGGAGGCCAGGGGCCCACAAGGCGCTGATCCTACAGGCGCTGGTAGTCAGTGGTTCCTGACCATCCCGCCTGAGGAGTTGTCGGCCCAAGTTCAAACACATAATCCAGGCGAAAGGACACCTTTGCCATGGAGAAATCTGGCAAACAACACCTTAACCAAGTGATCAAACAACTAGGAACAGGATGAACTTCTGATACGATTGCTTCACTAAGGACACATCATGACTTCTGCGGTACTTCTGGCAAAAATGTGTAACCCGAATCTAGTCATGAGACATCAGACAAACCCAAATTTGGGGTAAACCGGCCTGTGTTCTTCGAAAGTATCTATGTTATAAAGGAGAAGCATTGAGGAATTGTTTTAGATTAAAGGAAATTAAAGAAATATAGTGACTAAAGTCAGTGTGATCTCAGGTTAGATCCTAGATTGGAATAAAATATGTGAAAGAGCATTATTGAGACAGTTGGCATAAACACACACTATATGTTTAGTAACAGCATTGCCTCAGGGTCTGGTTTCCTGAGTCAGTCATTGTATTGTGGTCATAAGACAATGTCTCTGGGGGCACCTGGGTGGCTCAGTGAGTTAAAGCCTCTGCCTTCGGCTCAGGTCATGGTCCCAGTGTCCTGGGATCGAGGCCCGCATCGGGCTCTCTGCTCTGCAGGGAGCCTGCTTCCACCTCTCTCTCTATCTGTCTGCCTCTCTGCCTACTTGTGATCTCTGTCAAATAAATAAATAAAATCTTTAAAAAAAAAAAAAAAGACAATGTCTCTGCTCTGAGAAGGTACATGCTGAAGTGTTTAGGGGTAAAAGTTCTTGGTACTGCAGCACATTTTCTTCTTTTTTAAAAGATTTTATTTATTTGAGAGAGAGAGAGAGCATGAGCTGGGGGTAGGGGGAGAAGCAGAAGTCCCCGGTGGGCAGGAAGCCCGGCCAAGGTCTCTCCGTCCCAGGACTCTGGGGTTCTGACCTGAGCCAAAGGCAGATACTTGACCAACTGAGGCACGCAGGGACCCCTGCAGCACATTTTCACGGGGGTTAGTGGGTTAGCAGATAAGAGCAGTAAAGATGTATATGAAGGAGAGAGCAAGTGGCAAGCATTCATAGGTGAGTCTAGGGGAAAGGAATACAGCTCTCATTCCATTGTTCCTACAGTTTTTTCCAAGTAAAGGTTGAAATAAAAATACCTACACCAAAATAAACCCAAAGAGTGAATACGAGATTGATTTTGGTTGGAGAGTTGTAGAGAGTATGTGAGGCAGATGCTGAACATACCTCAGTACAGGAAAGGTTGGGGTGTCCTCTGAGACACTACTAGTCTTCCTTTCATTCTGCATTGAATCGACAGCAACACCACATAAAATTGTTCGCGTTTAAAGAATTCTGTCATTGATCTCTTCTTTTTACTAGAGGTCAATTTGTGAAGTATTTTATTATAGCATCTCCATTTCCTACTGGATGATTATCAAGCTTCTTTCCAGACTCACGTCTCCTCTAAGATGGACTCATTCGCCACTTGCCTCTTAGATACTGAAATTCTAGCGACAATTCCCCAGGCTAGACGTAAGCACTAAAATAATGCAGTTTTCAAGCTGGAAGAGATCCAAAATCAAACGTACTCATTCTCAAGCCTTAAAGGCTCATTCTGTGGCAACCACATACAGCAGTATGAAACTTTAGGAGCCCCTCTGCGTGGCTCAGTCGGTTGAGCATCTGCCTTCTGCTCAGGTCGTGATCCCACGGTCCTGAGTTGGGAAGAGCCCCACATTGGGCTCCCTGTCCGCGGGGAGACTGCTTCTCCCTCTCCACCACACTCTTGCCTTCTCCTTCTGTCGCGCTCTTTCTCTCAGATAGATAAAATCTTTTAAAAACAAACTAATGCTGAAAAAGGTTGAAATGAAGAGGTCGAAAACCCAAGTGAGCAAGTGTTGGAAAGTGGCGCCGGCACCCCGCTTGATGGAGGGCTGTCGCCGTTACATTTGCGGGGGCGGGGAGGCAAGTGAAGCGCCACCAAACGAAGTGTGCGCGTCGTTGGAGGTTAACCCCCATCAGACCTGTGGTCTGTAAATATTTTCTCCCATTCGGCAGTTGGGGCCCCGCGTCCCCAGCGCCGAAAGCCCAGCGGACCCGGGACTGCGTGCTGCGGCTGCGGTACCCGCGCCCCGGGAGACGCTCGCCGGCAGGTTGAAAGGGTCGGGCCCTGCGCAGCGACCGCCGCAGGCCGTCCGCACCGCCGCCCCCGGAAGGGCCTTCCGAGACCCCCGAGAGTCGTGATGGGACCCCGCGCGTGCAGCGGAACCCGATCCCGGCCCCGGCAGGTGGGCTGAGACGTGGCGTCCGCCACGCAGACTCGCAGGCATCTTTCCACGTATTATCTGAGTGTTCGCGTCCAGCGCCGTGCGGGGAGGTCAGGGAGCTGGGAGAGCAGGGCCGGGAGGGAGAGGGCGCCCCTCTGCAGAGGTGACCCTGCTGTCCCCGGGGTCGGGGCGGAAGGGGGCGCCGTGGGGGTTTGCCCCCATCACCGCGCAGCTCTGGGGGCTTCAGAAGACGGACCCCAGGAATTATGGAAGCCCGCGGAGCGGCCCCCACCGCCTCCGCCAACGCCGGGGAGCGGGTCAGGCGCAGTGGCCTCGCCACCAACTTGTGCTCCTCGACCTCCTGCGCTCTCACAGGTATAAGATGCAAGCTGGGTTCACAGCTGGGGCACCTGGCGGTGTCGGGGCACGCGCGTGGGGCCCCCGCAGCCAACTGGGCACCGCCCACGCACCTGCGCGCGTGGTCCCCGCGGGGCTGTCCTACTGATTCCATCCGCGCGCCTTCCGGTTGTCCCTAAGGAATTTCCCCAAAAATGGTGTTAAACCCCTCCTTCAGCTTTTCTTATCCCCTAAGTTATATATGTCTTTATCTACTTATACTTTCCATGACCATTTCATTAATTCCGCTTATGCTGGGACCATAACATCTGATATATTCATGGAATGAAGCAAAGTCAAGCTAATATGAACTTTTTATTACAGATATTTAAAAATATTTTGGGTGCCTGGGTGGCTCAGTGGGTTAAAGCCTCTGCCTTCGGCTCAGGTTATGATCTCAGGGTCCTGGGATCAAGCCCCACATCAGGCTCTCTGCTCAGCGGGGAGCCTGCTTCTTCCTCTCTCTCTGTCTACTTGTGATCTCTGTCAAGTAAATAAAATCTTTTTAAAAAAATAAAAATAAAAATATTTTTATTAACTAAACTACCCCCACTGCGGGGCTCGAACCCATGATCCTGAGACCAGGAGTCCTGTGCTCTACTGACTGAGCCAGCCAAGCACCACTACTTTTATTATTGAAATTTTTAAACACAAAAACTCAGGGAAATTAATTAATTAATTAATTAACGCTCATATGTCTGTCTCCCAACTGCAAGATTTAGCAGTATTTTTCCCAACCTCTCCCTCAGTCCCTCCCTCTCTCTGTATATGTATAACATTTTCCTCCTGTAAAAAAAATCCAAGCATCTTATCATTTTATCCATAAATATTCCAATATGTAAGAGAAGAGAGATGGGAATTTTAAATATAAGCACTACTTATTTAGTGAGGATGTCTAGTAGGAAAAAAATGGCTTCTTCAGATTTCTTTGATTTATCCTTTTTTATTTTGATCAGTGTGATAATTTTTCTTAGAATGGTCTTAAAGGCTCAGGTGAACAATTTCATTGCCCCAAGTTGGTAGGGCAGAGACTTGCCTACATGCTCAGCAAGCTAATTTCCCTTTTAAAAATCAATGTTAAATACTGATTTTAGGGGCTCCTGGGTGGCTCAGTCGTTGAGCATCTGCCTTCAGCTGGGGTCATGATCCCAGGGTCCTGGGATCGAGCCCCATATGAGGGTCCCTGCTTGGCAGGAAGCCTGCTTCTCCCTCTCCCACCCCCACCCCCCTGCTTGTGTTCCCTCTCTCACTGTGTCTCTCTCTGTCAAATAAATAAATAAAAATCTTTAAATACTGAATTTTTCTGATTTTATTAATTTGAACTTAATCAACAATATTCTTCAAAAACAGAGTTACCTAAATTTTCATGTTCAAGGCAATGTGTGTATCTTCCTTTACTTCTCTACTCGAATACTTTGCAATTGCCTCCTGGGTTTCATTTGTTCTTTATATTTAACTTGGGTCACTTCTTCTGTCAAAACACACTTTCTTTTCAGAAGCTGGTACTTTGGGTCTTCAGGTTTTAAGACTGGCCTGCCACCTTTCCTAAGAAGACATCTGCAAATAAAAAAAGTATTTTTATTCCAGTTAATGTAGATTCAAACAAATTGGTTTTGTCAAAGCTTTTGCAAGATTGGAAGTTTTCTTAAAAGTTTTCCGTATTTTGAATAAATTAAATATGTACAACTTAACCTTGCAGTATTTAAATAAATTATCAAAAGAAAGAATGGAATCATGAAAACTGGGAAACCAAGAAATCAGCAAATGATTTCCTGTGAATCAATGTACTGCAAAAGAGAAAATTCCAGAATCTTTACAATTAAAACCTTGAGTGGTGAAAGAGTCACTCCTTATGGATATAAGTCTGATATTTTGACAGTCCTTTTAAAAGCTAAATTCTTCACCAAATTCTTCACCTTGTCTCCAGCTGGGGTTTACCTGGGACTGAGAGGCTCCCAGAGAGAAGGAACTTTCAGTGCTAAAAGGGGAAAGTTCCCAGCAAACCAAGAGTAGTCACCCTACGTGTCCCTGTCAGCGGGTATCCAAATCATCCGCAGCTACAGGAGATCTCATCTCCAAAATATATCTCGTCTCCGTGCGCTCCTCTCCATTCCTGCTGCCACGGTGCCGGTCCGCACCACCGCCCTCTCTCCGCCGTGGCTTCCCCACTAGGCCGCTCACACTTGTCCTTGCCACCTGTTCTCTCCAGAATGATCTTTCAGAAAGACGAAACAGATCATACTCTTCCTCCACTTATAAGGCTTCAATAGGTTCCCGTTGCAGTTTGGGTAAAATTTCAAATCCTAAACGTGGTCAGTGCCTGTGTGATTGTCCCCCGCTTTAGTGTCGTTCCCCGCCCCCCCGCCCGCCGGCGTCCCTTGCTCCCTCTGTGCAGCACACACTGGCCTTCCCTCAGGCTTCCTGACGCTCCCACACATGCCTTTCACTACACGTTCCCCTGCCTCTGCCTACACTTTTCTCGGCCTTTGTCCTAAATGTCACCTACTCGCCTAAAGGACATCTATTCAGGGAGACCAGGTGGCTCTGTTGGTTAAGCGACTGCCTTCAGCTCAGGTCATGATCCTGGAGTCCTGGGATCGAGTCCCCACATCAGCTCCTCCCTGCTCAGCTGCTCAGTGGGGAGTTTGCTTCTCCCTCTCCCTTCTGCTCATTCTGTCTCTCAAAATAAAAGTCTTTAAAAAAAAAAAAAAGGATATCTATTCAGATGCACATTTCCTAATCTCCCAGTTAACCTCCCATGTGACTTTCCTCATGCTACTCTACATTTTTCACATCCCTTAACAAAACTTGGGAGCACATACTTACTTATGTTTTTTGTTTCAGTGTCTGTCCTCCCCCTAGACAGTGTATGCTGTGCACAGCTCCATGCCTGGAAGAGAAAAGACATTTGTTAAATACTTGTTGAGAGGCGTGGGTGGTGGGGGCTGTGATTTCATCGCGCTCAGAGTACAAATTCGTGTGGTAGATTTGCTGCAGTCTCTCCTCTTTCTGCAGCTGTGAATATTAAACATGACCAGACATTGACTAGATGCTCCGGTCTTGAACATAAAGCCCCAGACTACTCAGTGATTGAGCTTTATCTGTACAGGTAGGGAAGGAGAGAGAAACGAGAATAACAGGGACAGAGGACCGTGAAATCATCTGAGGGACGTCCAGGCTGAGGGATCAGGAAGGTTAGCAGGTTCTGAGGGGAGAAGGCGGAAACACAGGGGTGAATGCAGGGCACCTAGTGGGAATTCTGCTCTGCCTCTGCTTGAGAGGGTTTATAATCAACTGTCTGTTTCTGAACATCAAATGCTCTCCCCGTGGCAATGGAAGGTGCCACCCAGATCCCTACTAAGAAAAGGTGGGGAAGTATAGCCCTGGTCCTCTGTAGCTTGGTGAGAGATAAGAAATGAGGTTAGGAACCTCTGCTAGGAAGAGAGCCGGGCAGAGGCTTGAGGCACAGAACAGCCATGACGATTCACTGTGCTGTAGAAAACAGTGGAAGGGCTGCTTTCCACCATCCTGAAGAAGTGTGCGGGATCAGACCTCTTACAAGTGGTGTCTGCCAGCTTGGTCTGTAAGGTTAAGATGAAACCCCATCCTATCATATATAAAAAATGTTACTAAATCTAGTGGTCATTTCTTAGTTAATATCTTCGAGTCTGAGCGGCATTTGTTCACCACTCTTCTGCCTTTAAATACTTTGTTTAAATTTATCTTTACTTTTTTTAAATGAAATTACTAACTAATATGTGCTCATGGTAAACAAAAAGTAAAATCTTGAAAAAAGTTTTTGTATAGAAAGTTAAAAACCTCAGGGGCGCCTGGGTGGCTTAGTCGGTTAGGTGTCTGCCTTCGGCTCAAGTTCTGGAAACCCATGCTCAGTGGGCAGCATGCTTCTCCCTCTCTCTCTGTGTAGGTGTGCTCTCTCTCAAATAAAGAAAGAAAATCTTAAAAAAAAAAAAAGAAAGTTAAAAACCTCAGATCCCAGCTGTTAACATACATCAAGATGTTTTTTCTGTTTATATCAATGAGACTTTCAGAAGTTGCAAAAAATTCATGCCCAGTATATAAAAAATAAAGAAATGCCAAATAAAATGTGAAAATATTGGGATATATTAAAAACTCTTCAGCTAACTCATAAAAAAGAAATGTACAGTGGTTGTACGCATAATAGTTATGACAAGGGAGCAGAAGGCAAGCTGAAGACAAAGAAGAAGCTGACACCCCATAACCCCACCAACCATGGGATATATGTGACATTCCTCTTGCACTCCTGGGTGCCCTAAAGGAAAAACAGTTAAGCTGTAGAGATCACAACCCTGCAAGATCTGAGTCTCCCTCAGTTTACAAATATCTTAGCAGTTTGCAAGAGCAAAACATTTCTATCAATGGCTTAGCTTCCAGAAGGAAATGTGGATACAATTAAATGTCCTTGGAACCTGCAGCCCAAGACAGATTCTTGAAGCAGGCAGAGTGCAATGTTTCTCCAGGAAGCTTCCTACTGTCTTCTTGTTAATGCCGTGCTAGAGGGGAAAACAACCTTAACTTAATGGCAAGGCCTCCCGGTATCCTGCTAGTCTTCTTTAACACATGAAAATCCTTTTGAAACCCCCCTTTTCCTTACCTCCCCAACCCTATAGTATATAATCACCAGCCCTCCAAACCCAAAACCCCGGGACAGCAACTCTTTCTGCCCATGGGTCCTGTCCCCACGCTTTAATGAACCACCTTGTTGCACCAATGACGTCTCAAGAATTCTTTCTTGGTCGTTGGCCCTGGACTTCACCCCACCAAACCTCACCTATATTCCAAAACCCCATCAGTTACATAACCATACATAATACTTCTGTGAAGATAACATGGAAAGTATAAGTTTGAGACCTTGATAAAATTGAGACTGAAGCTATATGAACTTCAGTGGTAAGAAATATCTCAACTCAAGGGCTCTGGTTGGCCCAGCGGGTGGAGCATGTGACTCTTGTCTCAGGTTGCAAGTTCAAGCTCCCCTGGGTATAGAGATTACTTTGAAAAAAATAAAATCTTTTTTTAAAGATTTTATTTATTTATTTGCCAGAGAGGGAGAGAGTGTACAAGCAGGAGGAACAACAGGCAGAGGGAGAGGCAGGCTCCCTGCTGAGCAAGGAGCCCGACGTGGGTCTCAGTTCCAGGACCCTGGGATTATGACCTAGCCAAAGGCAGCTGCTTAACCAACTGAGCCACCCAGGTGCTCCCCAAAAAATAAAATCTTAAAAAACATAATAAATATCTAAACTCAGTCTATCACCTAAAACAAAACCCAATTCTAAAACAATACGAAAATACTACTCATACTGTTCTGTAATTTGCCTTTAAGAAAATAAGTGGGAAAATACTTGTCAGTTACGGCATGCGGATATGTATTGTCCTTATTAATAATCACATACTCCTCCAATATTACGTTTAATCTTAAGTTATTTGGGGGCGCCTGGGTGGCTCAGTTGGTTGAGTGGGACTCTTGATCTCTGCTCAGGTATGATCTCAGGGTCTTGGATTCAAGTCCCATGTTGGGCTCTGCTCTGGGCATGGAGCCTGCTTTTAAAAAAAAAAGTTGTTCAAGTATTCCATTTGGTGGGCATAGTTTCTCACATTTAACTATCAGCAGGAGTGCCCCTCTGTACTATGGGTAACGTATGTGTATGTATATATACATATTTTTCACACTAGTGTTGGTATTTCTCCAGCATAATCTCCTATTAGTGGGCTGACTGCTGGGTTAAGGAAGGGTATGAACTTTGTAAATTTTACTAGCTCTTTTGCAATGTTCTTTCAGTGTGGTTGAGCTAATTAACAGCTGCATGGACAGCATTTCAGAAATCTGAAGTGGGAGTTAGGGAGGGAGGGTGAGATCTTGTTGTAAGTGGCATGTCCTTATATGTAAGTTAGGTGGAGCATTTCAATTATGATTTTGATTTTCCTTTTTTAATATTTTATTTTTAAATTTTATTTATTTGTCAGAGAGAGGGATAATACAAGCAGGGGAACAGAAGGCAGAGGGAGAAGCAGGTTCCCGCTGGGCAAGGAGCCCCGATCAGGGGCTCCATCCCAGGACCCTAAGATCATGACCTGAACTGAAGGCAGATGTTCAACCCACCGAGCCACCCAAGCATTCCAATCATTTGATTTTCTTCTGTGAACCATACGTGGTGGGGTTTTTTATTGTTATTTTTTTTCCTACTGAGTTTTCTTTTCTTGGTGAATATAATTTCATATAATCATTAGTTTATTTTATGAAGCATAAAACAACTACAAGGTCAAGTGACTTCCGCAGCAATTACTATTTGCAAGACAATTTTCTGAACATTTTACTGATCTTATCTAATTTAATAATCATCACAGCCTTATGATTTTTTTTTAAACTAGGAGTATTAACCCAAGAGGTTTAATTAATTGAAAATCTCCTGTCTAAGGACTTGCCTCTGAGTCTCAGATTTTGTATTAAATCCGGAACATTTCATCACTTCATTCAACAGTCGTTACGGTCTGCTTACTCCGGACTTGGCGTAACGAGATGCTCAAGACAAACACGGTGTTCCCTGCGGTCCCGCGGAGGAAGCGTGGTCTGCACGGAACTTCAGGGAAACTCGTGCTTAGTGAGAGCCGCGCTGCGCACCGCGCCCTGCCTCCGCTGGGACCGGTCTTGAGGCTCCTGGAGCGCGGTGGGCTCGCCCTTGAGGCTCCGAAACTGAGTGTGCGCTGGCGGGTGCGCTCCGCTCAGCGCGACACGCGCGACGGTAACGCGGTGGACAGCCCAAGGGGCAGCTGCGGGCGGCCGGAAGGTGACTTGAAATTCGCTGAACGCGGGAGAGGCGTCCCTGCGACGCAGCGGAGAACAGAGCCAAGAGATTTCATGGGGAGGCAAAAAGCACCATCATTTTGGGGGGAAAGAACATGCCCCCCCCCCCCATTCTGCAGTCACTACCAAGAGCACACGCACTCTCACGGCGGTGCGGGGTGCGGTTCCCGACGCTGCGCCGGGAGGAGCCGCGCGGGGACCGGGCACCCTGAGTCCCGCGCGGGCTCGCATCCCCGCCGCTCCGGCGGACTGTTCCCCACGGGGCTCTCGCGCAGTTTGCTTTGCCCCAAATTCGTTCTCACCGGCTGCCGAGGCTTTGGAGACCCCTGCTCAGGCCTGGAGTGCGGATAAGCCGCACAAAAAGGGACTCGCAGGGCCAGTGCCACCGGAAAACAGGAATGCACGGCGGGTTCCGCTGCG